GTAGGTACAACAGAAAACAAAACTCCATGTAGACGCTTTTCCTTGAGAGAAATCCCTGCAGATTTATTGACTGTACCCATAACATCTTGAATTTGGATCCTGTCAGATTAATAGCTGAGCTGTTAATAAGGCCTGGTTCATACAGTTTCTGTAGTGATATAACTATGTATATTAGGGGTCTGATTTTATTAACAAATATAGTTATTGGTACAACCCCTGGTGTGGACACAGTTACACTGATTAAAAATGTGGCTTATGCCACATTTTAGTCTCTAAGGTGCCACAAGTATTCCTGTTCTTTTTGCTTATACCAGTGTTACTTATTCCCCTTCCCATCTAGTTGAAAAGGTGTATGCCAGTCTAGTTAAAGCAGTACTGCTTTCCAGTGTTGACATGACCCCTTAGATAGAAGATCACTAAAGAACATTTAGATCAGTGGTCCTCAAACTTTTGTACTGGTGACCCCCTTCACATAGCAAGCCTCTGAGTGCGACACCCCCTATAAATTAAAAACACTTTTTAATATATTTAACATCATTATAAATGCAGGAGGCAAAGCAGGGTTTGGGGTGGAGGCTGATAGCTCATGACCCCCCATGTAGTAATCTCGCAACCCCCTGAGGGGTCCCAACCCCCAGTTTGAGAACCCCCTGATCTAGATGATGGAGAAACTGTTACTGCTAATTCAGGAGGGGGGCACACTTTTTAGACATTCAGCCAATGGCCTACCTTGATGTTAGGTTTCACTGTGCTGTAGGAGGTCTTTTAGATGACTTGAAATCAAAGTACCTGTTGTAGTTTGTGAGAACTATGATGGAACGCAAGCACCCCTCTGGAATTTTATCTGCCTAAAATTCCTCCTGTAGTTTCAGCTAGATATAAAGTATTTACGGTATGCTTTGAAAAATTTCTGCCCAAGTGATGTGAACTGTTCATATGTAGCTTGTAAAGCTTGTTGCATGCTTTGGGATACGTGGCTGGAAGGCACTGTATACATCAGTTATTGACCCTAGTAATCCTCACGTGAATGGGAGTGGCCTTGGCTGTATCTCTACTGGATTCTCATTTTCATGAGAACCTCTAAAAGTAGACATCTTGCATTAAATGTTTAGATTCTTTGCTTGAGCTAATGAGCTCAGAATTGTAACAAACTCCTTGATGTGCCCACATATCACAGCACACAAGTAAAATTTCTCCACTGATACCTGTGACAGCCAGGCACAATGAGATAAATTTAGCATCAGTTCAGCCTTAACTTTGACTTTTATCTAAGCTCTGTCAGTTTGTTAGACCCTTAAAGGGACACAGTTAATCTTAAGAGTTGACATGTTTCAAAAGACTTCAGTGTCTGATTAAACTGCATGTCCTTGAACTTTTTGAAACATTTTTCTGCTTCCCTTTTGATAAGGATTAGCCCAGCAAGGGAGAAACTATAAGGGTTTTTGTGAAATAAACTATATACAAATGCAAAACTACTGGAAATATTTTTGCTAACTTCTGTTTGTATCTTAGGTGTTGCCTGTAACTGTATTGGGTACAAAATTTCCAGCTAGAAATGTGTTGATGTCCCTTTAATGACTTTTAATTTTGTCCAGGGATCTGATATGTCCTTCTGCAGAAGAGAAGGATGAGATGGGCACTTACTTTTTCTTCCTACCACTCCCTAGAAAGCTATATTTGCTGAGAGGCCAATGCTAATGTGAAGGGATAGAGTCCAGAGTTCTAGTATAAAAAATGAACTGAAAAGGCACCCACCTTAAAGATCAGGTCACACTTGACCTGAGTGAGTAAAAAGGACTATGCAAAAGTTGTCGGTGCAGCAGTGAGAGACAACCAAGTGGGTCTCTGAGATATAGCGACGGTTCTGTTATCTTGAGTGGCTTTGCTGTCGCATGAAAATCGAAAGCCCTCAAACTTGACTCTTGTCAGCTGTGTAGTTAGCTTTGGACCAAATCCAGAGCCTACAGCCAGGTGGCAGGGCTGTTTGGACTTAGTGCAGTAGGATGATAATAGAACTGCTGTAAACAGGACACTCCACCCTGTCTCGACTTCTCTCATGCACCCTCTTTGTCATGCTGGAAACGTTGTTTTACTGTCTCCAGGGCTTTTTTTAGGCCTATTCACTTTGACTGGGGGAGGGTGTACCCCTCATCCAACACAAGCCCTGCCATCTGACTTCCTCCACACCCACACCTTTCCCCCATCTTAGATTGCTACTGCCTTTAAGGGAACACCGCTGTCCACTTGCAGAATTGATCTCCTGTAGTGGCAGGATGCTGCATCTGAGAGAAGGAATCGCGGTGTGGCCAGTCACATGTTGCAAGTAGGCATTCCCTCCTCAGGACTTTAATCTGTGCAACAGGCATAGCTGTCTTAAGAGACTGTGTTCATGCCCACACTCACGTCTCATGTACGCTGTAGAAGTCATTTTAGAATGGAGAGGAGCTGATATTTGCCGGACCATCCCCACAATCCAATTGTGTTTGCAAATGGAAAGGCAGCAGTCCTCCGGTATCAGCAGGTGATGACCTTCACTGGTGGTGTAAAGGGAGTTTCTGAGATCCGTAGGCGCTGACTCTGTGGGTGCTCTGGGACTGGAGCACCCATGTGGGGAAAAAGCCTCCCGTATCAGCTCTGCCCCACCCTCCCCACGTTTCCCACCTGCCATGATCCGCTGTTTCGCAGTGTACAGGAGGCTCTAGGGGGAAGAACGAGGATGCGGTGTGCTCAGGGGAGGGGGCGGGAAGAGGTGGGGTAGATTGGGGGCAGGGCCTGGGGCAGAGTGGGGGTGGGGGGTCGAGCACTTGCCGGCACATTGGAAAGTCAGCACCTGTGCTGGGATATAGTGTACTCTGGGGTGTTGGAGATGGCGCCAGGAGGTTGTCCAATTATGGGAGCATGTTTAACTCCTCTTCTGTCAGAAACCGATTCTTGAGGACCCGCATGAGTGGAGGAGACAGCTGATGCCATATATAATTGAGATGCAAGTGATGCAGCCTGTGGGGCAGTGACTCACTGAAAGGAACTGCTAACACTTGAGCAGGTTTTTAAACTAGAATTAGGGTGGTGGTTTTTCTCAGGCTGAGAGTTGTTTGAGGCGGGGACCATCTCTTCATATTTCTACAGGGCTGTCCACAGTCCTATTTGAGAGCTTCTAGGTCCTATTGCAGTACAAATATTAAATAATCTTTTCCAGCCCTACCACAGGCCTCTATGGCAAGTTGCTTTTTGTTTCCATTCCTCCTCACCTGGAACTCAATTTCCATTACTTAAGTCACTTTTAGATGACAGATTAAGTTGAGAGGGAATCTCACCAGAAGCACAAAGGTTAGTAAACAGATGGCAGCCATTTCTGAGCACGTAGGATGCCATGTGGCAAGGACTGAAAGCCTTTGTATATTGAATCATTTGGTTACTAGACTATTAGTACTAGAATTATTATTAGAAATTAATAGAAATATTAATACTAGAATACAGGCTTAATTTACACTTTAAAACCAAAGTGCTAAATTATTTGTCACCCACTGTGCTCTGAAAATGGGGGGTTCATATATAAAACACCTGAATCAGGGCTGTCCAAGACCTCATTGACTCTTTGCCAAGAGGCCAATGTGCTGATTTTAATTTGCATATTAATTTACATGTTTAATCAAACTAAATGCAAACAACCCCCTAGTGTTGACTTGAGCTTGCATGTTCCTTTATAGAATAGAAAATGCTCATTTGACTTCATCAGTAATAATAAAAATAAAAAAACCCTAGCTGTTCTGTCACTGTACTGCAGTTCCAGGGAGAAAGGGACTACATTGTGTATTGTCAGGCCACACATGGAGTGCACACCTACTTTAGAGCTGGCTAGGAATGTAATATGCTGGGGGGTGAGGTAGTATGTAACATCTCCCCTCTTTCAATGTGCCTGCCAAGAGAGAAGTTTGGCATTCTGTACTCTTAGCTGTTGGCATGAAATGGAAGCAGGTCTGTGCACACAGTTACTGACATGGGAACTTACACTGGTGGTGTTTACAGAAGCTTTTCTGTTCGTCATAAAGCTGCAGTTGTGAAAATATTGCTCTCCAAATAGGCAATATAGTTGTCCAGTGGACTGAGCATGAAACCGAGAGCCAGGACTCTTCTGAATTTTAGTTCTGGCTGTGACACTGACCAAGTCACTTTCGCCCTCTGCTTCATATTTGCTCTATAAAATAGGGATATGTATTTACTAACCTCCCTTAGCGCTTACATAGCACTGTTCATTGGAGGATCCTAAAGTGCCTCAAGTAAATATCTCCTTTTTTACAGATAGGGAAACTGAGGCACAGGCTCCAGCTTGCATGCAGTGTCATTATGTTAGATTAGAACCCAGGTTTTCCGACTCAGTAGTGTACTTTGGCCACTAGGCAACATTGCTATGCAGGCTTAATAGATGTTTGCACAGTACAGCATTAATGCACAAATATTGTATGTGTCAAGTATTTCAGTATGCCACTGAGTTGTGACTACATTGAATTCTTAAGTTTGACTGGAATTTCTAATCAACAGTTTCAAGCAGCTACTTCAGCACTGAAATAAAATTTCCTACACTAGGAAAAGAATCTTACTTTGATAAACATTAACATAGATCTCTCTAGTGGGGGCATTTAGGCAGATTTCCCTTCCCTGACCCAGCTAGCCGATGACCATGGTGACTTCTGATAGTTGATGAGTAACAGGACTTCATTGTGGTCTAGATTCAGGCTGGGAGATGGCAAGTGAGCGTACAAGCTTTCGCTACTATAATGGCATGAATGCAGTGGATTAATTAGGAATAATAAGACTTCTCTTGTTGCTTCCAGTAACTAAACTAATTTCTCTATCCCTACCTGTGCATTCTGGTTGCTCTCATAATCATCCCTGAAATGGGTTTTCACTTGGTTGCACTGTATCAAATGGAAGACCTCTAAAGCACTAAGTGTTAGTTATGGGCAGAGACTTACTTTTTTTTTCTGCTTTTTTCCTTCTAGCTAGTGTTCCATGTGCTACTGCTGTTGAAAAGACATGCCGGACCAGAGCACCCAGAGTGAGGCGCACCTCTTCGCTAGATACCATCCTTGGATCGTACCTCCTAGGACAGTGGCCACGGGATGCTGATGGAGCTTTTGCTTCGTGCATGAATGACAAAGCTACCCAGGTATGGAAGGTACCTTTGCAAGGTCTGAGGTAGCGGCAGGGTTACAGAATGCTGAACTGGGGCTGCATAAACTGATTGTTAAAGAAGGCATCAAGCTTTTGTCTGTCCTGCTGCAACTTTCTAGGAAGACCTTCCCCTCTTACTACTTAGCCTCACTTCACTCTGGTTTGGTGTGGAGTTAGAATTCTCTTGTCCTTGTTTGGAGGCAGATGGCCTCTGGCGCTTTGCTTCGATACTGGCTCGGTGATGGGATTGGTTTTTGTTTGTTTTTTTGGTGGCTTGCAGCTCTGGGCCAAATCCTTATATAATACTCATGGGCTCTGTGCCACAGCAAGAAGTCAAGGGTGCTCCCACAGAGGACTTGCTCAGTGCGAGCCACACAGCACTCTGCTGTATAGTGGAAAGGCTCCAGACTTTGAAGAACTCTTAGCAACCCGTAAATATTACTGTATGGCAACGGATACTGGTTCTGCACGTGGAGAGGTGGAAGAATTTAGAAGGATAAGAGCATCCGTTCACTTAACTAGCCATTTATTTAGCACATTAAAGCTGTCTGTTAATGGGAATGTTCATTCACCAGCAATTTATTACTTACTGGGCTGTTTGCAGGAAATTCTCAATTGGTTTCCAAGTTCGATTGTCCTGTTTAAATGTATTCTCGCCTGTTATTGTGTCTGCTGCAACAAGCAGTTCAGGGGTTGGAGGGCATTCTGAACAGAAAGGGGAGGAATTCTTTCGCCTTGTACCTTTGGGGGTAGGAGATGAGGGAGAAGGTCTCTTAAAGCATATCGGCACCAGAAAGGAAATTTAACCCTCGTGTTTTAGGATCTGCAACTAAAAGGTTAATTTTTTTAGGCATTTGACCTGCTTTCCGGGCCCTCTTCTCCACAGTATGTTAAATGCTGATATGTTCATTTGACCCCTACTTCCCATGTGGATTTAACTGGTGTGGTCCCTTAAGCAAGTTATGCCAATGAGGTAACAGTACCTTCCATTTGATTGTCTGAAAGCTCTTTGCAAACGACACCTCCCAGCACACCTGTGAAACAAGTAATTATCACCACTATTTTGTTGATGGGGAAACTGACAGGGTTAGCAATTTCCTGGGGGAAAAAACTAAATTAGACCAGGGCGCTGGTAAAATCCTGGCTTACGCCTGATTTAAACTGGGAAAAATAATTGCATCAGTATCCAGCAAGATCAGCAAGCATAGAATGACTCTTTTCAAATTTGGGATACATCCATTCAAAACTGCAAAAGGAATCGGCTCAGTGTGTCCAGTGCATCAGAGTTGGTTGTCTGCTACAGAATGTGGCATGGCCGACTGGACCTGGACTGCTAGGCTGCACTTCTGTGCACCTGATTGCTTAATACTTCAAGCCTACAACTGCATGATTGTTTTCATATAATCGAATGTTTTCAACTTTTGTTTATACAATATTGAAAACTGAAATGAGTCACGAGCAGGTGGAACTTCCTTGAGAAAATATTGAACCAAAATGTATAGACATTCCAGTGTTCAGTATTATAATTACATACCTTAGTGATATGCCCACTGCAATTTACTTTTTTCTTTTGTACGGCTCTAAAGTAATCTACTGCCCTACGTAGCCACAATTTGAATATATAACTAAAACTAAGTGTAATGCGGTGTGCAGTAACGAATCCGTTTTTAAAATAGAAAATGCCTTAAACAGGGACTAACTAGTTTTTCCTAGAGTGGTAAAAAACACGATTTTATCTGCTAAAAAACACCTCTGGTAAATACCATGCCATCCCTGGAAACTGAGACACCTAGGTTGTGACTTGCCTAGGTCACACACTAAACTTGTGGCAGAGCTTAGAATAGAGCCCAAGCTTCGTAGCTGCCAGTCCTGTGCCTTATCCATATCATGTTCTTCCACCTGTCGTCCCATTCTAACTTTTACTGAGATGCAGGATAATCTGTGGTGCTGTTCTGCAATTTACCAGACTGAATTTTTCAGTGTCTTCAGGCACAATGAAGCTGACTCCCTGGAACTTCTGGTGGTCAGTGCATGTTCACACCTTTCTTTAAATAGCTCCTAATCAGCTGTTTTGCAAAACTCTCTAGATCTGCTTGCTTAAGGTGGTTAAGTGAGATGCAGCTGCAGGTGCTGAGTGTGGGGGCGAGGATGGCAGCAATATACATGATTGGAGCTTGTGGTTTCATCTTTCTTGCTGCACAAAGCATTTTGTCCCTTCTCACTCTGAGGGGAAGTGGTTTTTGCCACAGTTAGTACAACAGGTTCTGTAATTTCCTTCTCTGCTGACAGACTTGGCCCTAGAGAGGTAGGAGGCCCGTGCATGCTCAGTCTTCAGGCGTTCCCACTCCTGCAGGGTTCTTTCTCCCTTTTTAGGCTCTGTTCTTCTGATGTGAGCCTTTAAGCAGTGCTAAGTGCTCTGGTGTTAAGGTTCTCTAGCCCTTGGAGTGCAGAGCCCAATGTAGATATCTGGAGCCCACTAAGGTGGTGAGGGACCAAATGCTGCATTGGAGTATAACACCCCCACACCTACTCTGAGGGTCCAATAGCATTTTACAAACAACTTGGAATAAATTGGCTTGAATATCCTTCTTAGCATTGGTTCATAAGTACATGAAGTGTCCAGCGTTTTAAGAGGCTGAATTACTTTAACCCCGGAGCAGTAGCAGCCCTGGAAACTGCAGTTTAAGCATCCCCATCAATGTCCCTGTTGCTCTGACCACGTTGGCGAATGTGGGGTTGGGTCAGCCCCATTCCCATTCAGTCTTTGATCTGGCAGACACTAGTTTGTTTCATGGAAACCACTAGGTAGCAACAAATTTCAGGTGTTGCAAGGAACAGAATTCTTTGCTTATTGGAAGTGGGCAACTGGATCCAATCTGCCAGCATGAGAGGACTTCACATAAGTTTTTGGTCTAGTGACTACCCTTCCTATCTGCATGCCACATCAGGCAACAGTGGTGCTGCTGCAATCCCAAAGAGGAACCCCTGGGTAAAATCACAAGCTTGTTGGTGGAAAAGCAGCATGCTAAACTGCCAATGGTATGGGTCCTAAGGAGTCCAGCTCAGCCTCTGCTATTCAGTGAAAGTTGGAACACTACCTGTAAATCAGTTGTATTCCGTTATAAAGCTTAATCTGTCAAGGAAACCGTGTACCTTTCTGGATAGCTCGTCTTGTCCCTCTGGCTTGGACTGTAACCTTTTAAGCAACTTTCTGTAGAGAGGATTTTGCAGCCTTAGTGACTCAACAGGCCTGTTTTAAACAGCTGCTGTTTTTGCAATGACCTCTCCAGGGAGGTCAGTTGAGTTGCTTGGAGAGAAACTGTTCTCAGGCCTTTGCACCTTCTGGCAGCTTGTCCAGTGAGGGCTGAGGAGGAAATTAACATCAATCCCTCCCACAGAAATGGCAGGGAGGGGAATGACTTGGGATGAGTGGTTTGCAATGAGTTTAAATGTGGTGGTGGGGAAAATGACCGCTGACATATTTGAAAGTGAGGTACCTTGGGACTCGTTTCTGATTTCATGGATGAGATATTGGGAACTTAAGTTCACTGTCCAGTGCAAGGAAATTCACATGCTTCACCTAGCTGGAGATTGGCAAACCGTTTCTTTTGATGATTGAAATATAGCTGTCTCTTGAAAAACAGTTCTGTAAAATAGTGCTGAGCTTGTTTTCCCCGACAAGTTCAAATTTGCTCAGTTTACTGTCAGTCTGGCAGACTCAAACGGGATCTGAGTCAAGCCAGATTCTGGCATCACTCATGCATTAGAACCAATACAAGACTCCGGTAGCCAACTTCTGCTTTTGGTTACACGTATGAACTTCCACTCAAGGCTGGACAGGTGTAATGGGGAAGAAGAATCTGGCCTAGCAGTCAGAACGTAACCATTTGCTCTGAGCTGTGCTGACTCTGCTAGGCTGACATGAGTGAAAAGGAAAATACGTACATCACTCCCGTCCCCAGATCTGACTGGGTACATGTGGGAGGCAGGAGATGTCGTTTGTACATGCCTGTTTTTTTCCTCTGGCTATGCATAGCAGTATTATTCATGACTGATATCTGAGCACCTGTCAAAAAGAAAGCCAGTGGCTTGAGTGGTTCTCTCCTTGCCTATCCCAGTGCAGGAAGAGGTAGATTCAAAGAACCACAAGTTCTAACAAACATTGCTTGATCTCAGAGTATTAACATTCAACTATTTTCTGATCTGTTTTACTATGCATAGTACTGAAGCCCAAAATGGTTAATCCAGAGCTGAAGGAAAGACTGGAATATAAGTGTGGATGCACAGTACTTGTTCACTTTTCTTCCTAGGAGGCCTTATCCCCTGCCTAGAAGACAGTAAAGTTGGTGGGTGCAGTCCTAAATAATCTCTCTTCCCTTCAGACTCCAACGTCCTGGCACGAAGTGGAAGTCGGGAAGGCCACTGCCAGTACTCATAAGCGTTCCGCATCTTGGAGTAGCACAGATCACCGCAGAGAGGTAAACAGATCCCCTTCTGCAACTTAGCAACCAATAAAAATCTTATCATTATGGACCATACCCTGTCCATAAAGTGGGGAAAGCGGGTATAACTGAAGCTGAGATATTAAACTCCCATGTGCACTCATTAGCCCTTAGTTTGAGGGCTGCATGGCCTAAGCAAATATTCTTCTTGTGTCCATAAATCTTACACGGCAGGTCAGCATGTTCTTCCCACCTCACCCACCCTTTATTTGATAAACTGCAAGTCCCTCCTCTAGCTAGCTTCCATTGTAAGGAGTTTGACTATAGCTCAGTGCATCACTTGCAGAGAGGCCATGCCCATAACACCAACCCTTGGGGTGAGCTCCATTGAGTCCTGGTTCAAAGCTGATGCTGTAAATGGAAGACTAATATTCTTGGACCCCTGGAAAGGGAAAGCTGTCTACACCCTTCTAAAATGGGGGAGTTGACTATTAAACCTTTGGAATAACTTCCTCCCCACCCTCTGAGAAATGTCCAAGGTTTGTTCTAGCTTGATTGAATGTGTCCCTCAGTCTTGTAGAGGGGAACATTGGGGAGGGGATGGTGAATTTTGGTTGTGAGCCCTGTTTTCTTGTCCAGTTCGATATATGCTGAATTTGTTTGCTAGATTGCTAAACTGAAGCAGCAGCTCCAGCGAACGAAGCTAAGTGGCAAAGAGAAGGACCGGAGCTCCCCACTCCAGGGGGATCACGCTGTCCTTGGATCAGTCAGGGTACGTTTCATGTTTCCCCTCCTTCCCAATCTGTTTTGCAGTGTACCCTAATGAGCCTGGGGAGCACAGTCCAGTTCTGCTGCCGGATTACAAATCCAGTTTCCAAGTGGTTCTCAGTTTTGTTTAAATTCTAATATCCAGTGTGGTGGTGGTGGTTTTATTTAAAAAAAAAACCTTCCCCACATATCCCTGAAGGCTTTGGACTGCAGTCAATGGGTTTAATATACACACTCTCCTATCAAGGCTTTCCCCAATCAGCTGGCTTCCTAGAACATCCTGGCTGAAAATTCAGAGCTGTGGGATAGACACAGCTGTGCTGGGAGATCTGTATGAGTTTGTGTGGCTGCAGTGGACCCCTACGCCTCAGTCTGACTCTGTGTTGTCACAGGACTCACCTCCTGGACTCCCTCCTGCATCTCCTGTTTTGAGGCTCAGCCCCTGCTTACATAGGAGCCTGGAAGGACTGAACCAGGAGCTGGAGGAGGTGTTTGTGAAGGAACAAGGAGATGAGGAGCTTCTCAGGGTGAGTTGTCCCTTTGGGGTAGAATCATAAATATCAGGCTGGAAGGGACCTCGAAGTCATAAAGTGTAGTCCCCTGCACTACGGCAGCACCGAGTAAACCTAGACCATCCCTGACGGGTTTGTCCAAGCCTCCAACAATGGAGATTCCACAGCCGCTTTGGAAGCCTATTCCAGAGCTTAATTACCCATATAGTTAGGTTAGATATTAGGAAAAACTTTCTAAGTCTCCCTTGCTGGAGATTAAGCCCATTTACTACTTGTTCTGTATTCAGTGGACATAGAGAACAATAGATCAGTCTTCTTTATAACAGCCGTTAACATTTTTGAAGATTTATCAGGTCCCCCATCATCTTTTCTCAATACTAAACAAGCCCAGGTTTTTAACTTTTCCTAATAGATCCGGTTTTCTAAACCTTTTATCATTTTTTTTGTTGCTCTCCTCTGGACTCACTCCAATTTGTCCACATCTTTCCTAAAGTGCGGTGCCTGGAATTGGACTCGGTACTCCAGTTGAGGCCTCACCAGTGCTGAGCAGAACAATTACCTTTCAGATATGACACTCCTGTTAATATACCCCAGAATATTAGCCTTTTTTGCAGCTGTCACATTGGCTCGTATTCAGTTTGATTCACTGTAACCACACATGCCCCCACAGGTTTTTCAGTATTACTACCACCTAGCCCGTAAGTCCCTATTTTGTAGTTGTGCATTTGATTGTTCCTTCCTAAGTGAGGTATTTTGCACTTACCTTGTTGAATTTCATCTTGTTAAATTCAGACCAGTTCTCCAATTTGTCAAGGTGATTCTGAATTCTAAGCCTGTCCTCCAAAGTGTTTGCAACTCTTCCAAGTTTGTCACCTGCAGCTTTTGTAAGCATACTCTTCACTTTATTATCCAAGTCATTAATGAAAATATTTAGTACTAGATGCATGACTGACCCCTGTGGGACCTCATTAGATATGCCCTTCCAGTTTGACTGCAAACCATTAACTACTACTCTTGAGTATGGTCTTTCAATCAGTTCTGCAGCATCTTTTAGTAAGCTCATCTAGAGCACATTTCCTTAGTTCGCTTATGAGAGAGTCACTTGGGAGTGTATCAACTAAAATTAAGATACATCATGTCTACAGCTTCTCCCCTATCCACTGGGCCAGTAACCCTGTCAAAGACGGGAATTAGGTTGGTTTGGCATGATTTGTGCATGCTGGCTATTGATAACCTTATTATCCTCTAGGTGCTCACAAACTGAGTGTTTAATAATTTGTTTGTGTCTTTTCGGGTATCGAAGTTAGGCACACGGCTCTAATTCTGAGTCCTCTGTGGTCCCCTTTTTAAAGATAGGTGCTGTCTTTGCCCTTCTCCTGCCATCTGCGACCTCACCTGTTCCTTCCATGAGTTCTCAAAGATAATTGCTAACGGTTCTGAGATTGCTTCAGCTAGTTCCTTATGTACCCTAGGATGAATTTCGTCAGGATTCGTTGACATGAATACATTATCTAAACATTCTTTAACATGTTCGTTCATTCTCTATCTTGACTTGTTCTTTCCCCCTTGTTGTTAATTGTGTTGAGTATCTGGCCACCTTTTTAGTGAAGACTGAAGCAAAACAGGCCTTAAACATCTCCGCCTTCTTAATACCATCAGTTAATAGCTCTTTCTCTGCTAAGTAGGGGACTTACGCTTCCCTTCATCTTTCTCTTGCTCCTCATGTATTTAAAGAATCTCTTCTTGTTGCCTTTCGTGTCCTTTGGTAGGTGTAACTCATTTTGTGCTTAGCTTTTTCTGATTTTGCCCATACATACTTGTGCTATTCTTTCGTACTCCTCAGCAGTTTCTCCATGTTTCCACTTTATGTAGGATTTCTGCTTGATTTTCAGGTAAACAGCTCCTGACAGAGCCATATTGGCCTCTTGCTATTCTCCCTGTCTTTCCTTTGCAGCAGGATAGTTTGCAGTTGTGCCTCTAATACTGTCTCCCTGTGAAAATGCTAACTCTACTGAACTCCTTTCTCCCTTCATTTTCTTCCCATGGGACTTTACCGAAAAGTTTTCCTCAGTTTGTCTGCCCCCCCCTTTTTTTTTTAAACAAGCCCATTGTTTGTTCTGCTGCTCACACTCCTGTCCTTTCCTGGGGATCATTAAATCCATCATTTTGTAATTGTAGATTTTTAAAGATTTAGGCACCTAACTCCAATTGGTTTCAGTTGGAGTTAGATGCCTAAATTCCTTAAAATCCAACTCTAAGTGACTTTCACATGGTCACACAGAGTCTGTGGCAGAGCAGGGGACTGAACCAAGGTCTTTTGAGTCCCAAACCACTGCCCTAACCACTTCTTCATGGGTTTGTGTTTGTCATTAAAACTATAGGAAGCAACCAAGGAAGTTCTGAAACTCTTACAATTGCTTTGCCAATGGATGTTATGATTATCT